GAGGTATATATTATAATAATTACCGCCATTATTTTATGTCTGATTAAGCAAACTGCTCTGACAGATAAGCAAGAGCAACAGCCTCGCAAATAAAATTCGCTTAAACACTCATTCAATTCTTAAACATTCTTCTTGAATATTATAATATTATTTTTTTATAAAGTTTGCTACACATTTTTGGAATTAATTCCTGCTTTTGCAGCTGCTTCCCAAAATTCTCGTAGTGCGAATCATCACATGTATATATCGTAATTTAATTACCATTTGTAAACAAATTTGTTGATTACTACGTAGCACTCATTAAGTAATAACATTGGTCCGAGATTACAACTTCCAAATTAACTTCACGTCCTTAAATTATTATAAAACCGTTTTACAAAAGTATGACTCCTAAGCCCCTCCTGACGTCGTTCGGTAATTTTCTTGCAAAACAGATCGACATTATAATCTAGTTGCATAATCTATTTCCGATTTAGCAAAAATATTCCGTATATTCGAAAAAAGATTTGTCGAATTTTTGTCTGAATTATTGTACTGCATGGATGCGTGTTGTGAATATGAATAATTGAAAAGGACGTGTCATTAGAAAAGTGGATGTGGAAAAATGCTGTAAATACAATAGACTGAAAAAATATGAAATGAAACTGAACTCAGAAGAATGGAAGAAAAGGGAAACTGATTGGATTAATAAAATAGGAAGATGAATTGGGAAGGTCATATTTTGCGCCGGAATTTTTTATTTTAAGTCAAAATAGATGGGGAAAATGGGAGAAGGAGGAGAAAGATCTAAATACATGGTGTAATAAACGGAAGAATCTGTAAACAAATGAAAGAAGAAGCAAACGTTATAACATTAAGGAGGAAACCGTAATGTAAGACAGATATATTGTCTGTATGCTCTAACAAAACACGCCTCGTTGAAACGAAATTGTGGCCAAGGACACGTAAAAATATCTTTTGTTTTATAATTATAAAAATGTTATTAGAAGTAAAATAAAATTCTCAGCAAGGAATAAAAAAATCGAAAGAGAAAAATTCAATAAAAAATAAAATCCTTAATGCAACCAAAAACCAATGTTAATTGCCTAAATAATCGATATCTTAGCATTCTTTTTTGTGCATATTAGCAAAAAAGCATACGAAATGTAACTGTAAATACTAACTATTCGCATCATCCATTTTACGTCGATTTTGTAATATTACATTGGGTGTTAGGAATTTTTGAACGGGAGTATAACATTATTACCCACTACAAATCGTTAGTATGTCCAATTTCATAGACAGTAAAAACTTATTTGAACAAAACTATTCAACATTATAACATTTATAAATTGTCAACACGTGAAAATACTTTTAAAATAGTTTACAGCGTCGGCGATGCCAGATTTAACTACTCGTACCTGTATTTTACTCTCCAATACTTTAATCATAACTGATTTAAAGTAGATGGTATTTTTTAAATACTTATTTATCAATTTATAAGGAAGGGTGACTGATTCTCAATTGGTTACGATGGTATGAGCTCTCACTACATATCCATTCTTCAATCGAACACAAACGTTCTGCGCTCAACCAAACTAGAGGTCACTGCCCTTGCATTGTTTGGTGCGACACAACGCGGCTGATCGAAGACCTTAGGCTTTCCCACTATCGAATTGTACGCCGGAACGGCCTTAGACCCTTTTGGCACCGTCTGCAGAATGTGACAGAATCACTCACACACACACACACAGGCGCGTTGTGAACACGTGTTACGTTTACGTGCCATTCGAAACACACGTTCGTAGACATTTGATTTTTACTTCCCTCGCCTTCAAACAAGATGTACGTTCCATTTCGTGCATCCTGCAAGATGAAGAGTACCGATGGGATACCTTCACTGGAAATCAATCAATGTCAGAATAATTCTACAACATCATATTTACTTATTATTTTGTAAAAAAAATAGATTGTAAATTTTTTGTTATAAATAAAAAAAATTCGTGCATCCTAACTGAGGTCACTTCAGGGCCCCCGACCGGGACTACAGTGACATCAATTGATGCTCTGAACCCCCAAGATATGCCATATGGGTATTATTGCCTGGTGCCGGTGTATATGTCTGCGGATATTTTACCTCCAGGTATCTCCTTCTCTATCTGGGCAAGCCGTTATCTCCAGACTAACCTCCCAACATGATAGGGTAGTGCGTGTAAGTGTGTGTGCGCGAGTGTGGTGTATGTGTGTGTGTGTGTGTGGTGTATGTGTGAGTAAATAAGGGAAGAGATTAAAGCGAGGAAGAGGAAAGAAAGATAGTGCGCGATACGTGGCTCGCCCTTCTCTTAAGGTTTTGTACCGGCATCCACCAGGATCTGATCGGAGAAACCATGGAAAACTACCGATCAGAGCAAGCAGCTGCTAGAATTCTCTTGCAGACATTTGATGAACGCTACCTAGCTAAATTGTATCGAAACTTCTGTCGCCAATGAGAAGAGTTTTGTAAGAAATAAGTTTTCTCACTCACAGAATGAACAAAATATTTCGGGTTTAAATTATTTTGATTCCTAAACCGCTCGAGAAAAGTGGAATGGGCGAAACTACTATCATATTGACTTCCTATCTGACAGTGAAAGATTCGTCTGTAACCGTTTTCAAGGCTAAACATTTTTTTCAAAAATTAATAGGTTGCAATCAGTTTGTTCTCTGTTGCTTTTTGTTATCAGTTTTGTTGCTAATTTCCCATGCACGATTGCAAGAAAGTAAGAAAGATTGTAAGAAAAAATTCTACTTTTTTGGTTTAATTATAAATATCAGTATTCCATGAAAGTATATTTCCACTGTTAAGTAAGTCAGTTTTGACAAATATTGTAGATTCGTAAATAAATAGGCAAGGCAATGGTAAGATTCCAAGCTGAATGAAGAGAGGCTTACAGGGATGGCATGTTTTCATTATTCGAATAATTTTCTTTTGCGATGTAAAGGTCTGAGCACTATATGATGAGCTTGCCCAGAATATTATATATTATATTGCCCATATCTCAGGGGGGAATGGTCATTTGCAAAATTCACGCAAACGAGCTGCATGAAGGCTGACAGAATTGGAATGAATTCTGAATGCGTACGAGAAACATAATGAACTTAATTTAGTGTTTAATTCATATTTTAAATAATAGTTTTAAGTAAACGTATTTAGTGATCAAATAATACAATTCTCCCAGTGAGCTTAAAACACTGAACAATTTTGCTGGGTTTAGTTAGTGTTTAATAAATTCACATATTAAATATATGGAATAATAAATAAGATTTTCAGTAGAACTTAATAATGTATTAATGTTTAATACATAATTAACTCGTATTAATCGCATCATTTGATTCATTTCATAGAGTCCTTTCATAAAAGTAATTATTGTAATTAACTATTTGATGTAAAAATTTAATTTATAATTTTATGAAATATCATTTTACTATACCGCGACTTAAAAAATTACGATAACAATTTTCTCCAGTTCTAATTTAGTAATAACATTTTTGGGCCTTTTGATCGGGGCCCATGCCCAGTGCACTGTTTGCTGCTACTACTTTTTCGAAAACCTTTTTATGTGTATTTGTTCTGCAGCATTTTTGGTCCTAATACAGACCATTCCACATAGTGAAATAAATTGAGCGCCGAGAAAAAGTGGCTAACGCAACGCACGCATCTGAACAGCCACGCCAAAAAGTTAATGGTAGTCCGAAGAGTTCTAACTCCTCCCTCTTGGCTGCGCCACTGGTCGTGACAGCACTTTTTACGTGACAATATGGGCATACCGTACCATCGTGTCAATGAACCTGTACATACGTATATGCCTGGACAGTTGGTAACAACTGGTGCAGTTGGCACCTCTTTATCATATAATGAGGTAATAAAATACAAATAAATAAAACGAAATTAAATAAGAAAATTGTTCTGGAGAATTCCATAAAAATTATACGGCATAAAAAGTATGCCGTGAACCTGCGTAGAAATGAAATTGGGATGTGGACCTTAAGTTGGCTCAGTAATATATAACTATAGTAATAATAAATATTGGTTGGGGTTCGAGCTCGCGTTGGGTTACCAGAAACGTAGTTTAAAAAATTACGATGTTCCATGATTTTTATGACATACAGGCAACAAATTTCTGATACAATACAGAACATATCAATTTATTTATTGACACTGCACTTCATGGCAAATTATATGTATATGGCAACTTCATTATTAAGGTTTCTTCCTTCCTGTTTCAATATTCCCTATAAAATTACAAGAATAAGATATACTTATTTTTGTTACAGATAGAAACACTGAGTGAGATCTCCTAATATCACTTTGTCTAATGCAGTTTTAATTTTTAGACATTTTCTATTTAAAAAAATAATAAAATTATATTAAATAGATACCTATTAAAAAATTAGGACTTCTGGTAGTCCTTGGCAGGCATGTTGACTGTGCTGGAAATGAGGTGATGAGGTATTAGTGTACGTGAAATTTGCAGACCTGTTTTAGACATAACGATCCAGCTTTTACAACCGGAACATTGGCCAGTAGACAATATTTTACCTGACCATATCTCAATATTCACAATTCAATTTAAATACAGGAGTTCAAAATGTACAGCATCATGCATTGAAATTGTTCAATGGCCAATGTGCAATTTCCTAGGTTCTAATGTTAGCAAAGCGATATTGAACTCTACTAGAAACTACATGTATTTTTTTCCCCCATTTTTTATTTAAACATTTCTCAATTCTCAATCTCAATTAATCTTCATTCCTTATCAGATGCTTGGTTAAGGTTAATTTTTGTTAATGCATGAAGGATGAACAAGCTTTCTTGAAAATAAAAGACTTCTCGTGGTTCTGTAATTTGACACCTTTTCCGGTTTCATTATTGACAAATTTCACCAGTATAGTTGCAATGCAGTGAAAAATATATTTTATTTATTTCAATAGCTTTATATTTTAAAAAAAAGAATGTATATCAAAAACCAACAAGTTTTTTATAATACTTTACTAAACTCTTCACTTACAAATCTTATAACATTTTTTCATTTATGAAAAATCAATCTCTTGGGAGAGCAACATGAAAGGAACATACAAAATAAATATTGCACAAAATAAACAAACAAAATTAAAAAAATACTTCAAGTAGAAATCATACTAACTTCATCTCAGGCTGTTTCAAAATGCATAACAATAATTAGGTTTTGTTTTTGTCTTCACTGATACTGAAAATAGCCCAGAGTTGAAAATCGGCTGAAATGTAGTACACGGTACAACCTAAGGAAGTCGTTTAAACGGCACTTTGCTCTGTTCCGGCCTTAACTAGGCAGTTAGAATTCTGGAGGCTTTCTTGAAAAGTGATGTCTTATAAAAGTGAATTGATAATTATGCATTGGATAGACTCAAGGATGTTTGTAGTGAACACAAGGGCCGAAGGCACGAGCCTCGCCATGACTTGGATCTAGGCGAGCGAAGCGAGAAAACTTGCCTTTGAAAGTAAATTGGCATTACAGTGCGGTGGGGACAAAGCATATGAAGGGCGAACCATAAAAATCGCCTATCCAAGTTTGATTCATTTCTATTAGAGCATGTACAGTAATTAAGGCTTAAGCCCCGCCGCCACATTTTTTTAAGTGTGTACCGTATACTAATCTTTAACCTGAAAATCATTATGGCATTTTGTAAGTAGCTTCAAAAACATAAAACAATATGTCAAATATCAGTGTGATTAAAAAAAACAAACATAACTGTATGGTTTGTACTCAGGAATTACAAGAATACTTCAAAAATCTCAAAGTAAACATAGCCAATCTGTTTGATCTTCCCGCATACTTCTCACACTGTTCCATAATTGCCATAAACACAAACAATCCATTTCTAACACACACACAAAATTGAAATTCCTGACTCACAAGTCAGTTTACAGATATAGATACATATATGATAAATCTAACATTTCTATAGACACAAAATTTTTTCAGTAATTTTTTGCAATTTTCACACCAAATACTTTTCTTAAAACACTCTTATCCCCTTAATGGTCAATTCTTACAGAAGGCAGTACTAAATATATTGTTAATTAGTGGCAATTAACGCTGTTTTCGTAATATGTTGAGGTATTTTCCTCGTGTCATCTCCTTGGCTTCTTCCAGGCCCAGTTGATAGGCAAGGTCATGGAGCTTCTTGACTTCAGCAATCAGCCCTGCAGCGGTCAGGCTTCCAAACTCTGGGGAAGAAAAAAGGCCTATAAAGTGCATGGCCCTTTCAAATCATAGTCTCCCTGAGTCTTTGAAAAATTCAAAAGATTTGCAATAAGTCATCATTGGATTGCGACTGTGAATACTGGGATGCGAATAGGGATGTGGCATCGATGTCAATTTTCAAAACATTGATTTGTAAACGTCAATGATTTTTAACATAGACATTTTGAATTCAATGTTTTATGTAGTCAATACTTTTTAAATAAAAAAAGTCAATCAGAACCAAATTCTTTCATAATTTTGAGATATCCATAAACTGAACATTCTTCAGACCAATGTGACTAGAGGTGAAAAGTAAATAAAATTGAGTTTTCATCAACAAAGAAGTCTATTATTTTTGAAGTATCAAACCATACAAGTTCTGTTAATTGGCCTGATTTTTTGACTTTTTTGTTAGTTAAATCTTAAAAATAAGTAAAAAGCGATACCATTTTCCAATTAAATCCTCCCCCTTGCATGAACTTCAATGGTTACTAATCAAGTTTTAAAAACATCAATATTTGGTAACATTGATGACTTTTAGTAGATATTTTATAGGTTATGCGACAAATTTCCTCTAATTAGGGGCCATCAAATCTACAAGGATGTTAATGAAAAGCAATGTCCTTGATATTAAACAACTATATTTTGGCACAATGACATCTGATATCACATTTTATAAATATTGAACAGAAGATACTAAGAATTAATCAATAAAATAATTTTCAGCTTTTGATAATCTCTCGATCAAGTAAAATACTTACGATGCAATAAGTTGATGTCCTCACTATCTAGCTCCTTGGTCCATGGCTGATCGTTGACACTTGGTAACGGAGAGTTCATAAGAAAGTCCGAAACACCAGGTACTGAAAAAAATATCCATTTTAGCAAGAAAAAAAAAAAAAAGAAAGAAAAAAACAATGCAAATGTACATTTATAAATTAAGGGAGACATAGATATCTCATAGTATTTAACAATAATATGTAATAGTATTGAAAAAAAGGAGACTGTAATATGATATGCATTACTTTGTTCGGGCCAGAGCTCTGGTGAGGTCCTATCCAATTTCTCCATGCTCAATAAACTTTCATCAAACATTGCAAGATCAGCTGAAAAGGTATCCTGGGAAGCTGTGTAAAATAATACAAATATATTTAGTTCTCGAGTCACAGTAAATGAAGTTACACAATGTTTATGTCACAGCTGAGCAAAGTACTTGTTTGAAGAGTCCCGGGTGATGTTCCAGTCAGTTCCACTTCCATATTCATGGTACTCGTATTCATGGTACTAGATCCCTGATTGTCACGAGTTTCCTCGAACTGTTGCTGCTGAAAATACGCCAGGTCGGAAAATTATTCAAACAAAACTTCACAAAATACAAACTTGCCGCAGGTTACAAACAACATACAGCGCTTGTGCGTCAAGGCAAAACAAAACAGTGTACAATCCTCCCGCGTACACTATCGACACAATGCAATCGATTCGAGATGGCGGTACGATTGAAAGTCATTTTTAGTTATCGGACGAATAAAAAAGATAAAAGAATGAACCAACCTCTGAATTTTTCTCGCACACTCCTCAGTCAAAATTCATAATATATCTCTTTGTAGGTACTCATAATTTACAATCTTGGAGGGAGGTTAAAGACAGTTGCACAATTCGACCGTCCTGTTGCATGGAGGCGTGGCAATCAGAGAAGTACTTGCTGTCATAGAACCATCTGAAGCCGCGTGCGGCCTACTGTCCAGGAAAACGTGTGCTCTCGTTTAAATCAAAATGGTTTTAGATATAGATCTTTTTCGCCCAGAAAAGGGCGGTGATGTAGGGAAAATGCGTAAAAATCAGTCGAATCGCTTCAAAGATGTGAAGTTGATTGATCAAATCGTGTCGAAAGACGGCGAATGGCGCAAACTTCGCTTTCAGATGGATAACCTCAACAAGCAGCGTAATTTATGTAATAAAGTGACAGGAGAAAAGTATAAGAAGCAAGGAAACAATAAGGCGAGTGAGAGTGCGCCGAACAAAGGTCGCGGGGAAGGTCCTCTTACCAAATTCGGCGATTTAAACACACTAGAGGGTTTGAATGCTTTGAACACACATTTGGAAAGTGCAAGTTACATTTTGGGTTACTCTCCCTCTCAAGCAGATGCTGACCTATTCGAACTTCTGAAGTCCAAACCCCCGGAAAACTTTCCTCACGTTTTGCGTTGGTTTACTCATATTCAGAGTTACGGAAGTGATATAAAATCGTTCCCCAAAACTTCAGACGAAACCTCAACATCTCTTCCCAAAACACTCTTGGAGGGAATCGATGCTCTGACGGTAGAAGATTTCAGAGCTCTCGATTTAGAACATCTTAAAAAACTGAGACAGGTTTATGATAAAGAGATTGCAGCTAAATTAGAAGCAATGAAGGTTGTAGAGAATGAAAGATCTGAAGCTTTGAGAGAAGTGGGAAATCTCTTGCACAAATCAGTGCCAATTAGTGATGATGAAGATAATAATGTAGTTGAAAGAACCTTTGGAGACTGTTCACAAAAAAAGCTTTATTCTCATGTGGATTTAATTACAATGATAGGAGGTATGGATGCTGACAGAGGTGTTAGTGTTGCAGGAGGAAGAGCTTATTTTTTGAAAGGCCCAGGTGTATTTCTGCAGCATGGACTAATACAGTTGGCTCTACGCACTCTTCTTCATAAGGGTTACAAACCACTATATACTCCTTTCTTCATGAGGAAAGAAGTGATGCAAGAAGTTGCACAGTTATCTCAGTTTGATGAGGAGCTTTACAAAGTTGTTGGGAAGGGCTCTGAAAAAACAGATGCCAAAGAGATTGATGAAAAGTATCTAATTGCCACATCAGAGCAGCCAATTGCCGCATTTCACCGTGACGAGTGGCTGTCAGAGCAAGATCTACCCATCCGGTATGCCGGTCTCTCCACTTGTTTCAGACAAGAAGTTGGTGCCCACGGGCGTGACACCAGAGGTATATTCCGTGTTCACCAGTTTGAGAAGGTGGAACAATTTTGTATTACATCACCTCATGATGATAAATCATGGGCAATGATGGATGAAATGATACAAAATGCTGAAGAGTTTTGTCAGTCTCTGGAGATACCATACCGCATTGTTAATATAGTCTCGGGTGCCCTTAATCATGCTGCTGCAAAGAAATTAGATCTAGAAGCTTGGTTCCCAGGCTCTGGAGCGTTTCGTGAACTTGTCTCATGCAGCAATTGCTTGGACTATCAAGCTCGACGATTGCGAGTACGATTCGGCAAAACAAAGAAAAAGGACTCTTCTACAATGTTTGTGCACATGTTGAATGCAACCATGTGTGCTACTACACGTGTGATATGTGCCTTGTTGGAAGTTCATCAAACAGAAACTGGAATCAAAGTGCCAAAAGCTTTGAGAGAATTCATGCCTCTGAAATATCAAGAGGAAATTCCTTTTGTGTGTCCTGCACCTATTGAAAACCAGAAAATAGAAATGAAGAACAAAAAATAAAATGTACTGGTGATCTTCTCTGGTTGTCTTACTTTGGAAAAACTGGTCGTAGAGTTTAGAACGGTTTATTTTAATATTGGGTTATTTTGTGGTTTGTTTTACAGAATCTTGAAATTTTAATTAGATGATTGTAGGTTTGATGTGTTGAGCCTAAATTATGTATCGAAAATAGATTCACATCTCTTAAGAAACTAAAATGTATCAACATGTCAACTATCGATCTTCGTCTTGGTCAAATTTAAACTAAAAGTAATTGATCTTTAACATTTTTTGAAGAATTAAGAGTCATATCACATTCACATGTAGGCAAAACAATTTCATCATGTTACAAGAATTTTTGTTTCAGCTACTTTTATTAATTATTTACATTTTGTGATATCTAAGTTCTGATTTTCTAAGAGGTTCTTCAATTTTCTTTGTGTGTTTGTTGCTTGCTGAAATACCTGTATTTAAGTGTGTATGGAATCCACTAGTCAATCTACAGCAAATTCTTGTTTCCATATTTTTTAAAGATATGTGAGATTAATTAATATATGCAAAAAGCTGCTGTTATTGTGGGATTTTATTTATTCTATTGTAGGCTACTCGTTATTTTTATATATTGGAAACTTTAAGGTGCGAAGTAACTTATTACAAAAGTTACAAAATGATTAGCTGCAAAAGTTGCATGAACAAGATGGGAATTCTGATTAGGTATTTGTTTATTAATGGGAGACTGAATTGAAAAATAATAATGAAGCCACTCAGCTTTATAATTGTAATGTCAATTAAATTGCTTCAATCTTTAGATGCTCACTTCTTTGGCTTTTGTATTTTTTTGATACAATGACAGATGTGATCAAAAATTTCTAAGTGGGATATGTGTCTGTGGAAATGTATTGATGTTATATTACTAAGTTTGTTGAAGAGCAGAAGGTTGCTAGAATTCAAAGCCTCTCTAAATTTCAGTGTCTTATTGCAATGAATTGTGTATTACATGAATTGAAATAAAAACATTCATGCATTCTTACACGTAGAAGTGTGTAGTTAATTTTATTGTCCTTGTCTCGTGTTTGTGAAATAAAGGGGTTGTGTTAAACTGCTGGTACCCTTGTATGGTATAAAATTTTATTGCTCTCAGCCTAAACATCAGTGTAATTTAATGTAAAACCTGTTTTTCATAGAAAATAGAGTGGTAATATTACTTATAATATTGTTAGAAAATTAAATTCAGAAAAAATCTGTAGTACCAGAATATAATGAAACAAATCATATGTGATATTTGGAATATAAGAAACTTATCCAAACTTAACATAATAATTAATATATGCTTTCGCTTAGAACAATAAATTCAAATACCGTATGTGAACAATAGTTCAAATTAATAAAAAAGAAATGAAAGGAACATGCATAATATATAGAGAATTCGCAAACTATATGAAGGCAACAATAAGTGAATTTGAAATTTGTGTTTTTAGTTCAAAGAAAATAAAAGGATTCTTGTTGAAATGTGCTAATATTACATCAAGATGATAGATCTGTTTGTATGTGGTAGCAAAGGGTATCTTTTTTTTTTTTCTCTCTCTCTCTTTCTTTTTTTTTTTTTCTCTTTTTTTCCTTTTTTAAACATTGTTCTCCAGTGGTTTTCTCATTTCATTTGGTTCCAATAGAGGAGGGTTGCCCAAATGATGGGCCGCATGCAACCCGCGGTGCCATTTATTGTGGCCCGTGAAAAGTTATTCGTTAAAAAGGAAATTCCCTAGCATCCATTGCGTGTCGTTCTCCTATTGTGCACCTAGCACACGTGCTCTGTTGGGGTTACAACACTCCCTTAATGTAAAAATAGGTTAAGTCTAGATACAAGAATTTTTTTCTAGTACATTCAGAAAGTTTAAATCATAATTTTGTGTTTCACTGTGTTGTGCATGTGATACCACGCATAATTGCATTCCCCCCCTAACGTTTTAGAGCAACCAGCCAGAAGCCACAGAAGATCAGGTGAAAGAAAGATGGGTGTCAAGCAGAAAGCCAGGCATGGACCACCAGAGTAATGAATCAATTAAATTAATCAATCTTATTAAAGTTTTAATCGTGGCACAAGAGGCCTTGGAAGTTGGACATCCCTGCAAGAGTATACAATGTTTCAGCTCTTGAGGATAACAGGAAAATTTACCTATAAAGCCATAATTTTGTTTAAAGTAGGGAAAATGTTTAAGTTTTCGAATTTTTTTGCAAAATTATGTGCTCATACTTGTGTTATAACGTAATGCTTGATCTATTATAAAATATTAAGAAAGTGTAAATGTTAAGTTAGAAAATGAGTGACACTGCATTTAAAGAGTTTTAAAGAAAATTGTCCACATTCGAAAATTGCATGGAACAATTTAAAATCAAGGACTGAAAAATAAGTGTAAAGGAAGATGCAGTCTCCATTCCTCAAAATGGTTCTCAATGTATAGAGAAAAATCTTCTTCTATGTGACTACAGGTAACTGGACCAATTTTATCCTAATGAATACAGTTGGAAGTTTGTTGGTAAAAGTCTGAAGAATTTCACAAAGCCAAGTGGATGTTTGCAATAATTTACTTGACAAATATATATATGCTTAAAAAAACTCACTTATGTACAATGATAAAATTCAAATACTGCACCACATACGAACAATTTGAATTTTATAAAGTTTATAGGTGTTGTGGTAAGATATCTTTGGCATTTTTAAAATAATTAAAGATGTTGTCATTGCCAACAATATTTTTTAATTCAATAGCAGCTTTTGATGGCTTAGCTATCATCATCAGTTGTCTGCTAGATGGAAGCCACAAAACGACTACAAAACGACTAGTCGTTTTGTGGCTTCCATCTAGCAGACAACTGATGATGATGGCTAAGCCATCGAAAGCTGCTATTGAATTAAAAAATATTGTTGGCAATGACAACATCTTTAATTATTTTATAAAGTTTACTAGAGGTAGTACCAATTTTTTTCTTCCTACAACCCCTTTTAAACTAATTGCTGCATCAACACCCTTGTATTCTCTATAATATCCATCATTATGACAAATATCCGTAATCATGACACAAAGAATATCACCTAAATGCCTTAAAGATAGTTTTAGACACCTATATTCTCGTAAATATCTCAATTTTTCAATAATGAAAGAGCTTCTGCTTTTGAGTTGTCAAGTTTCTAATCTGTATTGAAACGCAACGGTTTCAAAATGTTGAGTGTATTTTAAGAATTGGCCATTACATGTCTTCAGTGAGTATTGTGGATAGTTTTTTCTTGCGTGATCGAGTATAATTGTGAATGCATATATAATTTCAGGAATTATCTAAACGTTCTTAATCCTAAGAATGAATGATGGATACAAAAGAAAAGGAGCAAATTTGTAATTTATTATCGTATGTTTTGTTGCTTAATATCAGAAAATAGTTAATCAAGTTCATTAATATTTTCTGTTATCAATGGGATTTTATTATTATTATTATCATTATTATTATTATTATTATTATTATCCAACAGGCATATAATGCCTAAATACATTTCATATATACATAGGTTTATACGCTCTTGAAGATTACAAAATATTCGTTTGTCATAAAATAAGTATTGTCAATTGTTGCATATCTATCCAGTGAAATCTAATGTGAGTTGTTTGATCATTTTAGCTATTGATGTTGTATTTCGAGTCAAATCAATTTCATTCATATATGAATTGGTGATTCTGGCTAAACGTGGTATAGCAGAATTATAGGATTTTTTGATCATCCTGATCAGACACCAACTCATATTCAGCTATTGATCCTCAATTGACTACTTAATCATCATTGGCACCTTCAAAATTTCATCGACTCCTTTGGTTTCTATACCGACCTTGTTGAGAACACGTGGCAAAATTGAACGCTCTGCATGCTGCTGATGCTTCTGTAAGTGAATTGATGCTTTGAGAATTCCAAAGCATATAGGAAAATACAACAATGTCGTTTCCCAATCTGACATAGGCAAAGGTGGCTCAGGACATGCAACTGATGTCAGTGTCGTGCCTCTGCCTCGGAGGTGCTAGGGTTTGAGTCCCACTGGAGGCAGAATTTTGGACTGAAGCTTCAGAGATAAGTTGATTTGAGCCGTTTTTGATTGGTAGTTTTCCACAGTTACTCTAATCGACACCAGAAGAATGCCAGAACAGTACCATAAGGGACTGACCACAGTCTGCGTGCAATATTTCCTTTCTCTTCCTTGTCCTAATCCCACCCTGTACATACACTTACACTCACGTCCAGCACCTTACCACACTCGTCGAGAGCTTAGAGCTTGTCTCTGTAGGGAGGTGTCCTGCTGATGGGGGATACCTGGAGACAGTGGTGGAGTCTTCCATCACTCCCCCCCCCCCTCGCCACTGCTCCTGAGATGGTTGGAGGTTGCAGGGAGAAGGCGGTGGGAGGCGGCAGAGGAGGAGTCTACGCCCCCACCCGCATATGCAAATCTGAATATCAGGCGCCCGAGGCCACTTCGGAGGGGAAAAAACTCTGCAAGCCCACGGGTATGTTGGTGCCGGATCTCACCATTAACAGGGGAAGATCACTGTCACCTCCCACGATTAAGAAATGCACTACACTTATGGGACTAATGACCCTTCCAGCTGATGCACCTGGAATCATCAATCAATGGAGTAGACATTTACAGTGTTTGGCAGAGAAAAAACAATTTATTATTTTCTAAAAATGAGTCAGATTTTCAAATGATGATAGTGGCTTTCTTAATGATATATAGAGCTATTGAAAAATCATTTCCTACTCGTGTCTGCTCTCCATGTTAAAAGAAACCTCTGCGTCAACTGGTTGGATGAAATTGATGGTTAAATGTATAATTGTTGAGCCAAAATGGAGTCTAGTTGAAAAACAAATAATGCCTGGGATGATGATATTGGTTTCAAAGAAATGAAAATTGTTTCCAAGAACTTACTAGTAAATAATACAAATGAGGAAAACTTTAGTCATTTCAATAAACAAAAATTAAGAAT